CACTGGCTTCCATCCTCTGCCAATCCCTGTACAGGCTTCCAACCCCTGCCCCCCTCTGCCAATCCCTACACTGGCTTCCATCCCCCGCCCCCCTCTGCCAATTGCCAATCCCTCCACTGGCTTCCAATAGCCCAAAGGATAGAATTCAAAATATTAACAACCACTTACAAAGCAATCCACAACTCCGCCCCCGGCTATATCTCAAACCTTGTCTCAAAGTATCACCCTAACCGTCCCCTCTGCTCTTCCAAAGACCTTCTGCTTTCCAGCTCCCTCGTCAACTCCTCCCATACTTGCCTCCAGGACTTCTCTAGAGTCTCTCTCATCCTCTGGAACTCTTTACCCCAACCTGTCCGACTAACTCCCACTCTGACTGCCTTAGGCGATCCCTTAAGACTTATCTGTTCAGGGAAGCCTATCCCACCTCAACCTAACCACTGAACTATCGCTTTCTCAAACAATTCATCCCCACACAGCTACCTCCTCATGTATCACTTGCTACTCCCCTTTTAGATTGTAAACCCTCAGGGGCAGGGCCCTCCTTACCATCTTGTCTTGATTTGTATTGTAATGTCTTCCTTAAACTGTAAAGCGCTGTGCAAACTGCTGGCGCTATAGAAATCCTGTATCATAATAATAATTTGCTCCGACTGCCTGAGAACTTGCTCTGTTCTGGCATCTACACTACTGGCTACCAGGTCTTACCCCTGACAACACAGAAGGTCTACCGGACTCCCGGTAGACCTGACCTGAATCAAGTCCGGTCCTGTCCAGCAGGCTTGTTCCAGGTCACCGCCGGCCAGGATCGGTATGACAGCCCTTCAAAAACAAGTCAGCGATCTCAGCTCCTATAGTCCCATCCCACCCAAGTTCACTTTAAGGTTGACATGCTTCATGTGAATGGGGACGTTCTGTCTCAATCCCAACACATCCCCATAAACAAGCGAGTGCGTGATATGGGGAATCACATGTGCTGGGCAAATAAATGGGCTTCCTTCTCTCTCCAGTTCTGTCCGGACTCGGGAAATTTCCATGCTGGATTCTGGAGGATCACATGGGGAAGGAGGTATGCGAACAGCCTCACCCTGTGTGCCGACACAGCAGCTGTGTGTGTCAGGGGGCGCAGCCAGGACCCCGCGCTTCTGGAATTATTTGGACTTCTGTGCATCAGCCAAGCTTGTTATCAAAGAAAAAAAAAGGGCTTGTAGTCTCCAGTAGACAGCCTGACCTGCAATTTACTCTCAATGAAGGACCCGAAATCCTATATTGTGAATCTAAAGAACGCCCGATGATTCATCTAGAGGCAGACGGAATTTTATGGATTATCTAAACTCAAGAATAAAAATGTCATACATTCCATCATTCAAGTCCTTGCAGTGATGGCTGCATTCGTTTTCTATTTTCAACCCAAGAACATTTTCAGCAAGTACAGAAAAATACCAAAAACTCCATGTATGCAAAAGGTTAACCCTTGCAGTGGGGCTACACCTACACTGCAAGGGCTAACTCCCCTTTTTGTCTAGGGGGCTCAAATGAAAGAAATACACTCACCCGATCCCTGATTCTGCTTGGCTGCTACCGGTCCCCACTGCTGCTTCTATCCTGAGCTCATCTAAGCCCCAATGACATCATCACGTCTAATACAGTCCATTCACTTTCATTAGAAGTGAGGGCGCCAAGAGACAAACAACAGCTGGAGTGGAGGGGGGGAGAGGTGAGAGCTGCTCACCGGGAGGAGCGAGGATCAGGTGAGTATATCGTCTTCATTCCAGCCCCTAAAAATAAACAGTTAACCCTTGCAGTGTGCGGGTTAGCCACTCACATCCCCAGCGTGTGATTGGACAGTGAAACGAGAAGCAGCAGACTGATGAGCTCATCTCTCTGCTCTCTCTCTCTCTCTATCAACAAGTTCCTACCACTGCCTCACAACCCATTATGCTGCTTCTACCTTCCCTAGTCTGAGCTCTGCAGTACATGGAGTAGAGGAGGCTGGTTCCAGGTCGAATGCAGGTATGTGCACTGCTTGCATTAAAATAAAACCAAATTGAATGTATTTAAGAACGCAGAGCTGCTTTACTTTGTGCCTTTTATCTCTGCCAATGGTTCAGCTTTAAGATCCAAGGCATTTATCTGGTGAGTGTAAGGAGGTTGGGGGTAGTAGTTTGTTGACGTTATTGAATAACAGCTGATTATAATAATGCGCATACGGCTCCAAGCCTCACCTTGACGGCCTGCGGCGGGATTGCGTACTCCTGGAGGACTTAGTGGAACCCTAGGAGGGGGAAAAAAATCCAGAATTATTTCTCAGAACATCGAATACTTCCTTATTCACTAATGTATAGAGCAATGTACGAAACGCAGGCAACCACAACACCAAATCAGCCCTTGGTCCTGACTCATCAAACTGCACTAGCACTGAAGGTGTGCTAAATAGCACACAATCATATTGACTGGGAGGTCCCTTTAGCATGCATAAGTGCAATGTAAGGTACGTTAAGCTTAGAGTTTGGTGAACTGGGGGCCATTGTCTTCTACAGTCCTCCTTACTCTAAGGGCCAGTTCACACCAGATGCAGTGCGTTCTGGCCCGATTCTGGCCGAAACCCACTGTCTCGCATTGCAGCCTGGCTCACTATTTTGTGGGGCAGGAGGAGTAGTGGCCATTGAAGTGAATGGCACCGTAGCCACGCACTCCGGTCGCAATGCGATTGGCCGCACGGGAACACAAGGCACATTATGCCTGCGGTTCGATCAAAATAGAGCTTGCAGAATTTTGATCGGACCTGACCGCAGGCATAATGTGCCCTGCGATCCCATGCGGCCGATCGCATTGCGGCCAGAGGGCGTGGCTACGATGACATTCACTTCAATGGCCCGCCACTCCCCCTCCTGCCCCACCAAAAAGTGAGCCGGCCGCAATGCGAGGCAGTGCGTTCTGACCAGAATCGTGCCGGAACGCACTGCATCTGGTGTGAACGGGGCCTAAAACTGATTAAGTATTGGCAACCTATCACTGTACCACGCTTGAAGTCACTGAGCTCCTGAGAGCGACCCACAGCTTATACAACCCCATAAAGGACCAATAAACTAACCAGACACAAGCTCTATGTGCGCATAGCCCGAACCCCACTGTGCAGGAGACCGCCATGACGCAGGTTGGCGAGGAGTAAAGCTCAGCCAAGGCCGCGTGAATACCAACACTTAGGAGACCCGAAGATGATCAGTTACAGTTCAAGCCGATAAAGACATTAGTGTGATATTCTAAAACTTCAGTGTGACAAATACCGACAACGTTACTGTGACATCGCTGGACTCCAGAGGCAGAACCGTGGAGGACAGGAATGTGTTTAAGTAAATATACAATCCGTGTCCAACCAACTTCCCTCCATTTTCAGGGTTCAGACAACGGTCCCTGGAAAAATCCCCGACACTGACTGCAATCATTGGCCCCTTTCACACGGACATTTTGATCGGGTGCGTCTGTCAGTCTTTCAGGTGGATCTGATTGGAAGCCCGATTTAGAGCTGGCCATACACTTTACAACCATCGCACGACTTTCGTCTTGCGAGGGTTGTAAAGTAATTAAAAGCTCGTAAGGATCTGCCCATCTTGGACAGGCAGATCGTACCTGCGATCATCGCAAGTCCTCCCCACTGAGGGGAGGGCTTTCCGATGATTCCAATGCCGCACGGGCAGCGTGCGATTCTCTGCGGGTTTTCAAGCCTGCTCGGGAGACAAAAGACATGCGACCTTACAGTAGAAGCGGTCGCACGCCTATCGTACGATAATCGGCAGGTGTATGGGCACCTTAAAGGAGAACTATGGGGTTAAGGCTTTTCCCCATAGTTCTCCTTAGGGTAACGGGAGGACACAAACTAGCGTCCTCTAGTCACCCGAAGATCAGTATACCGCGAGCTGTAGCTTACGGTATACTGAGACGCCGCAGCCCCTGTCCTTCCCGGGAGCTGCCCAATACAGCCGTGCACGCAGGACTGAGCTGTACGTGCCGGCCGTTTCTCGTGTGAATGATGCCTTAAAGTTTATAGTGACCAATGAAGAAATCCTAAATATATTGCCGTAAACAGTTTTTAAATGTAGTGGCTGCATTCGTTTTTTTTCTTTTTCCTTTAATGTCACCCAGTGATCCTGCCAATAACACACTTCCTGTCCTGGGGTGACAATGCTCACTCACTTTACGGTATCTACGGAGGAGCAGTGTTGTCACCCTAGATAAGTACATCTTCTTCATAAGAAAGGGGAAGGGGGTCTGTAGTTCTCAGAGATAGATGGGAACAGTGCTAAATGATAACAATGCAGCACAGGCAGTGAGCACAGGAAGTTATCAACTCACTGGATTTCTGGCAGGATCAACAGGTATTTTGTTGCACTTATCGAACAGATTTGACAGAATGCTTTCACCGGTATATTTGACAGACTAAAGGGAAGCGCATAAGACGAGTTCATTGTTCAGGAGTACATACACTTTAAAGCAAAGCAAAGGGTCAAACGGATTTCAAAGGCAAACATAAAACCTCACAGCATGCTGTGACTGACTCTGCAAAACGTCCGTAGCACGCCCTGCAGTCCTTACAGTAGGGGTAGGCATCCTTGATACTCCAGCTGTAGTGAGACTGCAAATCTGACCATTCCTCTCCCTCTGGGAGTCATACCTGTAGCTGTCAGAGTCTTGCAATGCCTCATGGGACATGTAGATCCACAGCAGCTGGGGTGCTGAGGTTGCCTACCCGTGCCTTACAGCATGTGACCGCTATAATCCGAGGGTGCTCGCAGTGACCGCAATGGATGGTGCTGTGCAAATACCGAACAAGGAAATGTAAAGTCAGCAGCACTCAGGAAAATCTGGCCTGCTTGTGACTTTACATCTCCTTGACTTCTGAGTCTGACTCCTACGTGCCTAAAGCTCGGGAAACCAATGCAGCAGCAGAAGAGATTATGGCGCGTTTAGGCAAACGCAAAGCAAATGTCAATGCCGACCCTTAAAATCCAGTTAAAAAATGAAACAGCGCTAACCAAATCCACCAAAACTTAAAACATATCGGAGACAAACAAACCAATCCAATATATTCCAAAGCCATTTATTATCTAAAACGCGATGAAGATTTCTGTAGGAAACACCGATCTATTCATACCCGCCCTTGTCCATCGAAGGAGCTCACAATCTAATGCCCCCTCAAGTATTAAGTGGGTGGAAGCTGAATAACCCAGCAGGATATTTTAGAATGAAAGCGGTAACCCAGAGCACCGGGAGGAAACCCAGAGCACAGGGAGGAAACCCAGAGCACCGGGAGGAAACCCAGAGCACCGGGAGGAAACCCAGAGCACCGGGAGGAAACCCAAACTAGCATAGAGAGAATATACAAACATGCAGTTATAGTGTAAGTAAAGACAAACTGCTTTTTTTAGTTTTGGATGGGAGATGGGTTAGAATGCTTGTCATGTTTTTATCATCGTCTCTGCCCCTCCTGGAGAAAGTCACCTAGGGCTGCAACTAATTGATTGATCGATAGATACAAATTGACTATGAGAATAGTTGTCAACTATTCTCATTGTCGATTAGTTGGTTGGGAGAAAGAGGGAGGGAGAGAGAGGGAGAGAGAGATTCTGATCTCATTAAGGATGAGTGAAACAAAGTTTTCATTTCCCAAAAAGTGGGGGAAAATGGGGAGATTTTGGTAAAATATTTCCATTCCGAGTCAATAGGATGTCCTTGTTTCCAATCTCAAAAAACTTGGGAACGTCTTAAGTTCCAATTTCTTCGCTCTAGCAGTTCTGTTGCAGCAAAACCTGAATAAAGTTGGGTTTCAGACCTATCCTACATTAGCTGGGACTCGGGGTGGGTAGTAGTAGTTCATCCCATTGAAGTGGACTTGTTCTGTAGTGGAGAAAGATGTTCCATAGCTTCTCCAAGCCAGTTCTAACGCTGATAGTATCTGCCTGACACTTGTTAGAATTGAAGTGACTTGGAGAAGCTACGAAACCTCTTCACCGTGACACATCAAAGTCCATTTGAATGTGACTACTACTTCTAACTATATCATGATCTTGATAAATGAGCCTTCCTGGACATATGGGTCTTGGTGACTTACCTGAGAGAAACTGAAGGTCCGCATGAAACGCCTCCAAGGCCCGATAGTAGCCATGGTGGGACCCACAAAGCTCTCTGATTCTACCTCGAGTCCCGACCTCCGATCTGTCGCTCCGAGGACATTATTGTGGAAAATAGTTATTCCTCTAAGTCATGCAATAGAGTGACTTATGAATGCAGCTTAAACCAAAGGCACGCCGCCTCTCCTCCCTTCTCCCCACAAGCAGAGGGTCAGCCACTTATCAGCTGATGTGAATAACAGCCATGTTAACCCTTCAACGTGCCGAAAGTCACTGAGACACAACAGATGGAATTAATACGGGAGCACAGACTGGGGATTCTCGGGCGCTGGTATTCCCAAACTGACCCGTACACGGTACAATCTTTTCTCACAATCCAACGTTCTTTGATTGAGATACGTTTTCATGCAACGTCACGCACACACAATTATTCAAAATGATCATCAAGAGCAAAACACTTCAAAATGCGTGCAAAACAAAATCCAAATCACAAATTCACTCTATAGAAGAGAACTTGGGTCTTATAAATGAAACTTTGTAGCAAATGATCAACTGTTACATTGTTTAAATTGTAAAGTGCTGAGCAAACTGCTGGCTCTATATAAATCCTGAATAATAATAAAAAATATATATAATAATACTAAATATAATAATAATAAATATAATAATAATAATAAATATAATAGTTACAAATCATAAAATAAATATAAAAAAAAAAAAGTCTTTGTGCAAACAATTGTGAATCTGATTGCCAGTTACACCGCAGTGTATAAACAACTTCAAAAACTGTGCAAACATGAAATCTGACATTAGGGGGATGATTGATAAAACTTCCACCCCTGCCATATGCTGGGCGAATGCCGTTTGCTTTAAATTCCTGCCACTAGATGGAGCCAAGGACCACTGCAATTTCGTCTGCTCCCCGGCTCCATCTAGTGGCAGGGATAATGTGTGGATGGCCTTCGCCCAGCGTATGGCTGGTTGGGAATTCTAAGGAAAGTTGTGTAAAATGATCCCACATCCGGCAAAGCTTCACATTTTTTTTAATGTTATTTATTGAAACAACCACTGATTAGAAGTTCACAGAGCAAGTGGGACCCTTCACATCAGTCTTTGTCTCAAAAGAGCTTGCACTCTAATGTCAACAGTTACAAAGACATGTCAGGGCTGTTCAGGGTGGAACCCAATAACACTACCAGTTAGACTCCATGCAGATAGAATCCTATGGGGGACTTTAATCGAGGGACTGTGGCTAAGGCAGCAGGTAGGAACACAAACAGTCTATGTCACCTTCTAGAGCCGGGTTTCTCTATGTTTTCTCAGCCACGGCACCCTTTAAAAGTATGACAAATCTTGAGGCAACCCAGTCTAAAATGTAATGGATTTTAAAGGAGCGCCACATGCCAAACACACAAAAAATGGGGTTTCCCCTTCACATCAACATCCCCACTTCAAGTCAGGATTCCCCCCCATTACATCAGAGTCACCCTTCACATCAGGAGCTCCTCCTCTTTAATAGCAGGGCTTCCCCTTTCACATTAGAATTCCCCCTTTACATAAGGAGCCCCTTCACATCAGAGTCTTCAGTGCCCCCTTCACATCAGAGTCTTCAGTGCCCCCTTCACATCAGAGTCTTCAGTGCCCCCTTCACATCAGAGTCTTCAGTGCCCCCTTCACATCAGAGTCTTCAGTGCCCCCTTCACATCAGAGTCTTCAGTGCCCCCTTCACATCAGAGTCTTCAGTGCCCCCTTCACATCAGAGTCTTCAGTGCCCCCTTCACATCAGAGTCTTCAGTGCCCCCTTCACATCAGAGTCTTCAGTGCCCCCTTCACATCAGAGTCTTCAGTGCCCCCTTCACATCAGAGTCTTCAGTGCCCCCTTCACATCAGAGTCTTCAGTGCCCCCTTCACATCAGAGTCTTCAGTGCCCCCTTCACATCAGAGTCTTCAGTGCCCCCTTCACATCAGAGTCTTCAGTGCCCCCTTCACATCAGAGTCTTCAGTGCCCCCTTCACATCAGAGTCTTCAGTGCCCCCTTCACATCAGAGTCTTCAGTGCCCCCTTCACATCAGAGTCTTCAGTGCCCCCTTCACATCAGAGTCTTCAGTGCCCCCTTCACATCAGAGTCTTCAGTGCCCCCTTCACATCAGAGTCTTCAGTGCCCCCTTCACATCAGAGTCTTCAGTGCCCCCTTCACATCAGAGTCTTCAGTGCCCCCTTCACATCAGAGTCTTCAGTGCCCCCTTCACATCAGAGTCTTCAGTGCCCCCTTCACATCAGAGTCTTCAGTGCCCCCTTCACATCAGAGTCTTCAGTGCCCCCTTCACATCAGAGTCTTCAGTGCCCCCTTCACATCAGAGTCTTCAGTGCCCCCTTCACATCAGAGTCTTCAGTGCCCCCTTCACATCAGAGTCTTCAGTGCCCCCTTCACATCAGAGTCTTCAGTGCCCCCTTCACATCAGAGTCTTCAGTGCCCCCTTCACATCAGAGTCTTCAGTGCCCCCATCACATCAGAGTCCCCCTTTTACATAAGGAGCCCCATCACATCAGAGTATTTAGTGCCCCCATCACATCAGAGTCCAACCATTACAAAATATCGAGGCATCTTTGTGCTAGCCGGAAGACACCCTCGTTGCAAAAAGGCTGTTCTAGAGATGATCTTATGAGGTATGGGGGTCCTCCACTGGCCCCTGACAGCTCCAAAGGGCCACACCTAATATTCAGTATATGACAGAAGACTATCAGAGACTCCAAACATATTAGAGGAGACGGTCAGAGACTGCGGACATGCAACAGGTGTGACTGGAGACACAATGCAGAGACAGTCAGAGATCGGGGACATGAGACACCAGAGCTCACCAATATGGCAGCTTCTTTTCAAATCAATGCTCCCGCTACCGACTGCTGGGGTCTGTAAAAGGGCCACACAGCAAGTACCAAAGGGCCACGTGTGGCCCTTGGGCCGCAAGTTGGGCACCGGCACCGTAAAATCGGTGCAGAATCAGTAGAAACAACTCACTTACACTATTGTAGTTTTTCTTTATTAAATCCGAGTTGAACTTTCACTTTAAATCAGCGAAATACATTCCAGCAAAATAAAAGCTGAGCAAAGTCATGCAGTTGGTTTTCTTTAGAAAGCAGCCACAGCCTGAGCAGAAGAGCCCGCCCCCCGCCAGCATGCTGCAGAGAGGGACTCTTGCTCTCTGTAGAGGTCCAAAACTCCTCCTGCTGAGTCAGAGCCAAGACTCTCCAATCCGCAGGGAGCATGAGCTTTGCTGACTGCAGAGTTTTAGGTCTGAGATAGCAAGGGGCATGTTGGACCTCTGCAGAGAGACCACTGTTTCCATACAGAGCGCAATGGTCCATCTCTGCAGCATGCTGGCGGGGGATGGGCTCTTCTGCTCAGACTTTGTGTTGCTGCGTCTGGAATGTATTTATCTGATTTGAAGTGAACATTGAATTGGATGATAAAGAAAATGTCATTTATAAACAGATTTGCATTGTTAATACGATGATGTCACACTCACCGTGGTGTCTACATGCTTCTGTGGGCTTTCTGCGTTGGATGGCTGAAATAAAATAGAAAACATTATATTACAGGGACGGCAGAGAGAGGAACCTAAACTCCAGTCCAAAATGATTGGCTGTTTTGGATAGAATGGGGAGGAGCTAAAACTTCTCCAGGTTTACATTGCTGTCCGTGTCCTAGGTGGACAGATGTGTCCCTTCACTTCCTGTCTCAGTCACGGAAGAACAGGAAGTGAGGGGATATCTCTGCAATGGGGACACGCACAGCAATATACACCCGATGGAGGCGCTAACCTCTCCCTCATTCTGCCCGAAACTGAAATGAAAGTTTAGGATGGAATTCTTATCACAAAATAATCCAATATACAGATATGTAATTAAAGATTCACTATGTGACTAGAACTTTAGTGTAACATTGTTTTTACACTTACTAAATTACAAAACAAAACCATGCAATGCGTAACACCTTCTGGTATTTAGTGAAAAAAAAAAAGGACAGCTTCATCTCTGTTCAGGCATCATTCAGAGTCACCAGCTACTTCCTGGACTGAGATGGCAGCTCGGAGATGGCGCAATCATGTAAATCCCGGTGTCTGTGTAGTTCTTCTTGGCTGTGTTCACAAATGTCTGACACAGATCAGCTCCTGCTGCAGCCTTTCACCTTGTGACTTGCTACAAAATGACAGTGTTGCAGTCTGATCATTGGGAGAGAGGAGAGTGAGGAAATGCTTCTTCCTGCCTGCTGCATACTTATCACTGGGGGAGGGGAGACTGAGGAAATGCTTCCTCCTGCCTGCAGCCCACTGGTCACCGGGAGGTGAGACTGAGGAAATGCTCCCTCCTGCCTGCAGCCCACTGGTCACCGGGAGGTGAGACTGAGGAAATGCTCCCTCCTGCCTGCAGCCCACTGGTCACCGGGAGGTGAGACTGAGGAAATGCTCCCTCCTGCCTGCAGCCCACTGGTCACCGGGAGGTGAGACTGAGGAAATGCTCCCTCCTGCCTGCAGCCCACTGGTCACCGGGAGGTGAGACTGAGGAAATGCTCCCTCCTGCCTGCAGCCCACTGGTCACCGGGAGGTGAGACTGAGGAAATGCTCCCTCCTGCCTGCAGCCCACTGGTCACCGGGAGGTGAGACTGAGGAAATGCTTCCTCCTGCATGTAGCAGACTGATCACTGGGGGAGGTGAGACTGAGGAAATGCTTCCTCCTGCCTGCAGCACACTGGTCACCGGGAGGTGAGACTGAGGAAATGCTTCCTACTGCCTGCAGCACACTGGTCACCGGGGAGGTGAGACTAAGGAAATGCTTCCTCCTGCCTGCAGCCCACTGGTCACCGGGGAGGTGAGACTGAGGAAATGCTTCCTCCTGCCTGCAGCCCACTGGTCACCGGGGAGGTGAGACTGAGGAAATGCTTCCTCCTGCCTGCAGCCCACTGGTCACCGGGGAGGTGAGACTGAGGAAATGCTTCCTCCTGCCTGCAGCAGACAGATCACTGGGGGAGGGAAGACTGAGGAAATGCTTACTCCTGCCTGCAGCAGACTCAGGCAAAGTCCCTGCCTGGATTTCAAGGATAGCTTCTTAATTAGGGATGTGCCAAAAAATTTATTTTTAGACCAAAACCAAAATGTAAAAAAAATAAATTGTCAGGCTGAAAACGAAAATGACTTTTTTTCCCCAACGTTTTTAAAATGATTTTTTACTTTCCTGTCAGGCTTGCCGGCCCAGCCGTACCCCCCTGACAGTGCTCCTGTTCATTCATAAACTGAAGATTTACTATGTCCACAATCATGAATGAACAGGAAGTGATGTAGAGCACTTCCCGTTCATTCATAACTGGGGACACAGTAAGCATACTATATCCTCAGTTATTTCTGATCGCTGAGTGTTTGTAGTCCGCTCTCAACCCTGACTTGTCTGCCTGTCACAAGAGGCCGAGCGGGGTGGTGCAGAAGGAGCGCTCGGCCTCCCGTGACACCTGACTCCTCCCCGCACCGTAGTTCTATACAGGCTTGTGAAGTGCCAGGGGTCACCACGTTTGGAGACATTACCAATCAACAGAATACCTACTGACCATTTCACGCCGCCTACCTACAGCCCTGATTATTGGAAAGCAAATGTCGCACACTGGTTGTCAATTTACAGCTTGTGGCTGGTAAAGTAAAAGAAGTCCCATTTGTAGGGAATGAAATCGATTGCATTTGTGATCAGGTTGCTTTTTCCTTTATAGGGTGATGGTATCAAAATACAGTTCGGGAAATCTGCAACTGTTTTCAGGGGTTAAAATGGCTTTACTCAAACATTTAAAACAATCCAAAAACAATCATCAGTTGCCCCTCTAAGTATGCGGTTGGCCTCCATCTTTCTAATGACTCCCATAAAGTTGATGTGACGATCTCAGAGAAATGACCATATTAGCAGCGTCTGTATACGGGCCGCAATTGTTCCAGCGGCCTCCAGTACTAGATAAGAATTTGCTGTTTTGTCCTTTTTTGGTTCCTTATGCGCTCAGAGTTTAACACCAGATTATGGAAGTCATACTTCTGAAGACATTTCTACTAATCTTTGGATGAGAGAAAAAGCTGAATTACCAAAGAAGGGAGCTTTCCGAACGGGATAAGTCGCCAGTGCAGAAATCTCCGAAAGATGAACCGTCTCTGCTGGCACGGACCAAATAGAGACTCTTTTCTATTCTCTAACCCAACCTTTGTCTACCAGCGTTCATTGGGACCGTGGGGTTCCTCCAGAGTCTACTAGGGGTTGCTTGGGCAATGAGCAATTTCTGACTCAGATTGGCAACCACCAATATAAAGAGTATCATTCCCACTGACCACCAATGTGAGGAGCACTCTCCCACTGACCACCAATGTGAGGAGCACTCTCCCACTGAACACTAATGTAAGGAGCATTCTTCTCACTGAACACCAAAGTAAGGACTATTCTTCACAATGACCTCCACTGTAAGGACTATTCTTGCCAGTGACTCTTAATGTAAGGACTATTCTTCCCACTGACCCCCAATGTAGGGAGCATTCTTCCCACTCCCTCAATGTAAGGAGCATTCTTTCCACTGACCCTCAATGTAAGGAGCATTCTTCCCACTGACCACCATGCTAGTGTACCCTGAGTGGTAGATATAGTAATTATTAGTAGGAGTTTCCTGATATAAGAAGGATATTTCAAGGGACCCCAGTGTAACAAAGGTGGAGAAATGCTGCTCTAATCTAAACTATAAATAAACATATAAAATATCACCTGATTGTTCCGCATTCAAACTTGAGCATGAGCCTGTCTCTGCCTGGAAAAGAGCTTATTAAAGTGATACTAAACTCAGAAGTTAAAGGAGAACTATGGGGTCAGGGCTTTTCCCCATAGTTCTCCTTGGGGTAACGGGAGGACACAAACTAGCGTCCTCCCGTCACCCTAAGCTCAGTATACAGCGAGCTACAGCTCATTATACACTGAGACGCCGCAGCCGGAGCGGATCCGGACATCAATGTCGAGATCCGCCCAGTTTGTGTGAGTGACAGCTGGCTCTGCCTATCTAGAGGCAGAGCCAGCTGTACCCGCCCCCTCCCCCGTCCGTTCCGCCAGTCAGCGCTGGCGGATCGGAGCGGGGAGGGGGGAATCCAGCCCCTCCCCTGTCACGGCAGAGAGCCGTGACAGGATCAAGAGGTGAGCGAACGCCGGTATGTGTTCGCTCACCTCCCGATCTACTGAGCCGACCTGTGACAGTCTCATTGTCACAGGTCGGCTAGAACTATGAGGTGAGTGAAAAGCTCTCACCTCATAGTTCTTCTTTAAATCTTAAAAAAGCATTCAAGTCCCTTAACTATGTACAACAATGTATCTTATTTGTGTATCACTCGGCTGTAGATCCTCCAACCATCTCTGAATTGGTGCTGACACTGTCTTTCCTTCTGGAGGGGGGCTACTTTTGTTCCCCATGGTCCCTGTGTGTGTTGTAAAGAAGTCACTGCTCCAAGCTCCTTCCCTGGGATGGACTACAGTCTCATGTTTAGTTTAATAATTTGTATTGAGATTGTAGTCCATCCGGGGAGTGAGCTTGGAGCGGTGACTACTTTACAACACACACGGGGACCATGGGGAACACAAGTAGTCACCCTCCAGAAGGAAGGACAGTGTCAGCACCCATTCAGAGATGATTGGAGGATCCACAACCGAGTGATACACAAATAAGATACATTGTTGTTTAATATTATTGGATGTATTTTTAAGATTTAACTCCTGAGCCATTTAGTGTCATTTTACCTTTTTTGAACTACAAGCAGCACACAAGGCTCAGATGATTTTGAATGATGAATGAAGGCAATGCAGCTCCAATGCACATGTTAAAATCCTCCCACAATGGACAGTGTCATGGGTTTTAGTGTGCTGCATTGTCAACAATGGTGCATGTCTGTTTTTTATTTTTATTTTGACATTTTAGTGCATTGCCAGCCCTTTTATTTGAATGTGTTACTTTACCGCAATACATGTTAACGCACATACATTAACGCAAAGCACCATAAAAACATCTGAACCCGGCGGGAGTATTTTAAACGTGACTTGGTATCACGCCAAATGATGGAATGAGATAACGTTGGCCATTTTGGCAAAAGTATGTTGGAAAATTCCAGAAGATGACTGATGAAAATGTTTGATCTTTGAAAAGTAACATTTCTCTCTTAATTCTTTTGAGGACATTTTACATTAAAAAAAAAAAAAAAATCTCCCAATCTTTTCAGGTTTGCCAAAAAGCCTTCGGACATAAATTGTTTCTACAACAAACCCGGCCTTAAATGACGCATGTCGGGATGACAAATCCTCCACAAAAGTGCGATTGTTATTACAAATAATTAGACGTAATATGTTCCAAAATACTCCTCTTCACACAAGCACCCTTTAGAGGAGAGGAAAGGAATAAATGTTTTTTATTTTTATGTAAACATTGTCAATTAAGGTAAGATTGACATCAAAATCGGCTTTTTCTCCTCCGAGACATTTCTGCCGAGCCGTTGGCACAACAGAGAGCGCGGTTTAT